ATTAGCATGAGTATTAGGATAATAAAAATTTCACTGCTGTCAGAAACCCTGGAAGTACCATTTTGCCGCTTTGCAGATGAAACCCAAAATACTAATGAGTATTTTTGGCTTTTTCACATCATTATTGACAACTTTATTATGCTTCTCTTGTTCTGGACCACTGTGGTTTAATTTAGTCATGATTATGTTTTGAAACTTGTCTTTTGTTGTTCCTTAACTTGTTTCAGCAAGTCTTACACTCTTTAGTCTAGAAAATCAGAAGAAAATTATAAAGAAATTTCCTTTATGTTAATTTTCCTTCTTTGCAATCTAGTCTCTAACCCTAGTTCCCTTGCCAGGCTTATGAGTGCTCAAGTGTTTTATTAGTTATTTAGTTAAAAACATTTTAGGAAATGTTTCTCTATTATGATTATTGCTAATGAGCTGTGTACTAAACAAAAGTTGTCCATCTGTGGTCTTCTCATCTGCTTTCAAATTGCATTAGAAAAGGATATAATCAGAAAACTTGAGGACAGATTATGAACACAGCTTGCCTTTGTTTAGGAAGAACAGGTACTCTTGAGTTCTGAGCCCTTCAGAAAAATCTTTCCACAAAAGCAGGTCCCTGGATGGGAGCTGAACTCTTGAAAATCTCTTCCTTTAGGCTTTCTTTCCATCTGTTGCTCTGCTGGAACAATAATCCAAGGCTGACCTAATCTCAGAGCAGCAGCAGACAAACTTTGCAACTGGATACTCTTGTTCCAAATGATTTCTAATTGCAGATTTATTCCATCAATTACACATTATCTTACTTTGGGACATGCCAAAGCCATTTAAAATCCTGTAAATTAGCATGATGTCCACAAGAAAAAGATTGCTGTGTTTGGTACAGTATCCCTGCAGCCAGCACTTGTGGTGGCAGCTTAATGCTTAGGAGCGAGGCTGTGTGAGCTGATGGGCTTTGAGTTTCTATTGGGCATCCCTTGGCCAGAGCAATTGAGAATGACCCCTTTTGTCCTGTCTGTTATTACCAGGCAGCTCTGGAAAACGAGCACTGTTGAGTGAAAAGAAAGCAGCAGATGACATTTTGTTTTCTGCACAAACTAGTGTATAGGATCTTTGTTTTTCAGACGTGGTTTTCAAGAAGATGTGCAAATATTGCTGCTATTCTGGCTGTAGCTCTTTTGTTCAAGCCTGACCATAGATCTGTGGGAGTGGGGATGTCCATTTATATTAGTGAGCTCTTCCCTTGTAAAATTCCATGGATGCCTGATGTAGAGGTATGTATATTCTGAATAAGTCTTTTTTTTTAATATTACTGTAGCACTCCTTTTCTGAAATATAATTTTAGTTTTGTAAAAAAGATATGGTCATATTTTCAGAATAATAACACCTGCAGACTTTTGCCTGTGTGCTGAGATTACTCGTGATTTTGATTACAACTCTCACTGTTTTAACCCAGCAGTGAGCACGGGGCAGCGACTCCTCTCTGTATCCAGTGATTTAAACCAGTGTCACCCAGCATTGGATCTGCTTCCAGATCCAGTGTTTCACAAACAGCTGTCTCACACAGGTCTGGAAATCTTCTGACTTTGAAGTGTCTTAGTCATCCTCATTGCTGTTTTCCACAGCTGACCAGAAAGCTCTTGTGCATTGCTGCTGTGCCAGGGAGACCTGGAGGCTGCCAGATGAGTGACCTACATTGTGTCGGTAAACAGTAGCAGGAGAACTGTGCTCACAAAGTGAGTGGGGTTTGAAAGTGTCTGCATACAGGGTTTTGTTGACATTTTCGTGGGTGATTTGAGGATCACATGGGAGGCAGGATTCTCAGCTGGACTTCCAAGTGTTCCAGCAGCCTGACTAGGTGGATTCATGTACTCTAATTTCTGATCATCCAGTTTTGGTCCATGTCAGTTAGAAGGCCAGTCTTTATGTACAGTCACTTAGGAGGCTCCTTTTTAGTCAGAGAAGGAGACAGGAGTGTTATTTGAGTTATTCTCACAGTGTAGACATCAGTAGGCTCAACTGGGTAAATAGTTTCTGCTGAACAAAGGATTACGTCATCTTTAGGGCTGGTTTGGTTTTTGTTAAGGTTTAAAAGTCACTAGTGTGATGCTCCAAAAGTTCACTTGTTTCATAGATGAATAAATAGCAGTAACACAGGTCATCTTCTGCCAGCTGGATGCTGGTAGTTTCAAAATGTCAGATGCCAAGGTTGTGAGCATGATGTATGAAGAAGGTGCTAATGAAGTGCAGGGTTTGAATACAGTAATACTTTGGAAGACCTAATCTTCCTTCATTTCTGTCTTCTCTAAAGACTCTACATTCTTGCACAAGTTTACTGCACCCTGGTACATCATGATCATCAAATTAGCTGTTCTTGCAGCTTCTCCTCTGCATGCCTGCCAGCTTGGGGCTTCACAATCAGCTTGGCTCCAGCACAGTCCCTGGGCCTTGCTTATGGGGAGGTAGCACCAATATACAGAGAGGGCATGGGTGGGCAGGCAGATGCAGCCTCAGGCCAGCTGCAGAACCTCAGACAGTCTCTTAAACTTCCCACACCCCCTTCTCATCTGTTAACCTCTGCTCAGCACTGCAGTCTGGACTGGCACAGCTAAATACAGAACCGTGGGAATCCTGTTTTCCACTTAGGGACTGACCTCAACAGTGGCCCTGTATGGATATGCTGGAATTACTTGGCAGTCCAACAGTGGCTTCCTTAGAAGGGCAGTGAGGGGAAACAACTTGGAGGCAGAAAAACAATTTCCTCTTGTTCCTACCGGTACCAGTCAAGCCCAGCGGGTCTGGCCCTGTGCCCTGTAGCTGCCAGTGGAGTCCCCTGGCCAAACAGAAAGTGAGCCCATGTCAGTGGGCTGGTTTGGTGGCCAGACCACACAAAAAGTCATTACCAGGACATTTCACTTCCATTATTTCTGTTTTACATGCTGTTCTGTATTATGCTCTTTATGATTCTCTTCCCTTTCTTTGGTGCTTCCCACTATTCTGGTGTTGTTTACTGCAAAAGCTTGAGCTAACTAATAATAAATTCCTTGCTACCTTCACTGGAGTGGAGACCTGTTGCTTGGCAAAGTACTGGCTCCTGTATATAATTACCTGTGCTATGATGGTCTCTTAGGCATCAGAAAAGCTGTTGTAACTCCAAATGGACAAGAGGTCAGACTTTTGGCATTCTGTGGGTTGGCAAGTCCTCACCTGTATTGTCTTTCACCTCTCAAAGAATACTTTGTGAGGCGTGAATTATGCAAATAAAAGTTGCTTCTTCTATAGTAGATCGGATTTATTTGTGTTTGCTAAATCTTTTTTAAATGGGTTTCTCAGCTCTGAATGACTCTGTCCTACTGTTCTTCCAGTTTTGTTGTTGTTTGCTTTACCTTTACCTGTAATATTTAGGGTCATTTGAGTGATAGATCCCTTACTACAGTTAAAAAAGCAATGAATTTGAGTTTGTGTAGTATCCTGGGTGAAAGCTGCCTGTACATATTATAACTTTAGATTTTGACAGGTTTTGGAAGAAGGGTCTTCTGCAAATGCTTCAGTTTGAAGCAGTTCCTTGGAGCCATGCTTTCAAAAGTAGCTCAGATTCAGAAGTTATTTGAGGCATATCCCTAATGAATATGAATGCAAAAAAAAAAAAATTCATTATAGTTCCTGCTGCTTTAAAATGAAAGCTTTTGTTATGAATAGCAGTTGTTGACACCTGCAGATACCTTTAGAGTATCAAATAGGGTATATTTCCAAATAAAGCAATATTTAGGTTCTGCATGGTGCTTGCTCTTAGGCTGCATTTGCCACAAAGTGGTGGTAGCAAGATAATACCATCTGTGAGTTCCAGTTTGTTGATGATAAACTTGTGAAAATATCTGGAAGTAACTGGACTCTGCTTTTGTGTGCAGCTGTAATTGGAAGAGGATTTTACAAGACTCTTTAATGTAGTTGGAATGTGTGTGTAATCTTTTGACCTTGTTCTTAGTTTTTGATGAGTATGGCATGTTAAGTGCTGATAATTGGGTTTGCTCTAGGCTGAAACCTGACCTGCTCTCTGCAGAGAGGATCAGATCTTCTACTGGAAGGGGCACTCAAAGGGGCTACCTTAGAAATTGCAGTGCCAGGGCTGCTGAGATGAAGATCTCTGAAATACGGCAATTACTTTGGAAGGGCATGTTGTCCTAGGGACTGCTTCTCTTTCAGCCTAGTTTGAATTGGACTTTTCACCCAAAGGTTATTTTCCTCTGAATTTTCTTTTCTGTGCCATCTGGTTTGCCTCATGACTCAAGCTCAATTATTGTGGGAGCTGCCTTGTAGCTTCAGCTGGTGGAATGTGAGTCCTGGGTATGAGAGCAAGAGGCAGGTGCTTTTCACTTTGCTCTTGGAAGGGGAGTCAACTCTCTTTGTTTAAGCCATGTGCAAATGAGGGGAGTGTCTAATACCTTTGTGAAAGGAGCATGCAGCAATCATAAACAGCAGCAGGAGCAGGCCAGGAAATGGGGCCAAATGGATTTCCTAAAACTTGTCCATAGGGATCAGTGCAATGGACCAACCTGCACTTTGTATTTCAACCCATCCTTTTCTGTCTGTCTCAAACAGTGTTGATGGAACTGATCTTTCTTATTTTAAGCCTTCTGTGTGGGAGGAGTAAAATTGCTTAAATGTTTCTGAGTAGTAGTTTGCACAGTGCAGCATTGTTAGTTCTGCCTTTCCCATTCCCATTGGACTCCTTGACATATATTAAGAGTACACAACATGGGTCCAGCTAGAAAATGCCAGAAAATGTACACTCCTTGACATATATTAAGAGTACACAACATGGATCCAGCTAGAAAGTGCCTGTCCCTCCAGGTCAGTATCCCATTCCTGCCAGCAATTAACAGATGCCTCTGCACCTGTGTCTAAACCTTTCCTAGCCTCCCACCATTTATTTTCAGCTTATGAGACTTTCTAGCCATAAATCTTGCTTGTTAAAGGAAGTGTTGAAGCTAACTTTCTTTTCTCTTGGGTTTCAGAACTAAAAAAGCAAAGACAGCTGCTCCTCCAGCCAAGGAAGAGAAGCCCAAATTAACCATTTTTGAAGAGGAGGTGGATCCAAATGAAGGACTCTTTGGCCCAGAAAAAGATTTCTCATCAATCGGTCCCAGAAGAAAGATTAAAGAGAGTAAATCTGTTCTATATTTGTCTGTACACAGATTGTTTTATCTAAAGCATGTGTATAACTGAGCCTTTAAATTACAGTGATGCATAGTATACAGACTAAATAATGTCTTGGAAATGTTAAGGCAAATTTTCAGCTGAGCAGAATCATCTAGAATCATTCAGAAAGAACAAATGAAACCTGTAGCTCTCATAGCTGTTCTCTGTAAACATTTTGAACTGGGATATCAAGGTCTGTGGGAGCTGGCTGTCCCATTCATGCCACACTAACAGGAGTAATGTGACCTACTTTTGAGTGCAAGGAAAAAGCAGATTTACCAAGTCCTTAGAGTGCAGAGTATCGCTGCACTTTATGGACTGGAAGTCTTTGGAAAAAAAGAATTGTCTGCATGATCTGTTTTTTTCAACCCACCTAGCCAGATTTACTAGTTAGTGTTAGTGCAGGCCTTGTGTTACATAGCATGATTTAAATACAGCAGCTTCTGATTCCCCTTTCTAGATCTGAAGTTATTTGAAGACCCAGACCTCGGCGGGGTGGTGAGACTGGGTGACTCACTCCTGCTGCCAGCTGCCTGTGAGCACAGCGAGGATGTGCTGAGCAGGGAGCCTGAGGAGGACACTGAGGAGCTGCTGAGGTACTCATCTCAAATCTGCCATGTGGGATGGAGGTGGTCTGATCTATTCTCATCTATTTAGGTTTTGAAAGAGATGAATCTGGGGACAAAGCTTAAATACTCAGAATGCAAACTGTGAATCAATACTTGTATCAACAAGTAAAATGTATTGAGTGTCATGGAGCTTGGACATCAAACACATTACAAAGGAAATTAGGAAGACCCTTTGAGAGAGGTGGGGTGCAAGGAGTTACTATGTGACTCCAAAGGAAGAGCCTTGAAGGCCCAAGGTGTGCTATCTGGTTCTTGTTTTCTGCTTTCTGCATTACACTTCTGCTTTCTGCAAATGATCCACAGGGAACCTGACCTCCACTGTGAAGAGTGGGCAACAAAGCCCAGAGATAAAGAATATTTCAGCTTCAGGGCCCTGAAATCAGGGGCTCTTGCCACAGGAGGAATGATTTTCATGCTGATGGCTCACAGACTTCTGTGCATGTTTCCAGGAGGGATCCTGTGCATACCTGCACAGTTGTAAAGGACTCTTTGTCACCCTGTGTTTCATTTTTAATCTAGTGGGAAGGAGGACTGGAGCTCACAGTTGCAGGAGGGTATAATATATTGCTTCTCCCTTGGTAGTGCAGCCCTGGAACACATCAGCACACCATGCATTTATCCCTGACACCTCCCTCACAGGGCTGGCTCACCTGTGCTGATAATCCTTCAGAGATGGAGCAGGGAACCAGGGTTTGGAGAGACACAGGGAATCTGTGCTGCAGTAATGAGTCAAATTCCTTCCTTCTGGGTCTCCAGCTGGCATCTGAATGATGAGGCCAGCCTGCTTCCAGTGCCAATTTGTGTCAACCAGCTCCTGTTAGGATGTATGATTTCCACAGCAGGTACTAAACCCAGGAGAGAGACTCTGTGTGTGTGTGGTTTCAAAGCTTTCCTGAAGCAGGTAATTCTGCAGCTGTTGCTTTCCACACATGGAAATGTGCTGGCTATCTCAGCAGTAATACCTGACTGACTTTAAACAAAGGTTAAATTGGGCTGGGTGCCATCTTGCATTAGACCCTGACAGCCCACCTGATGTTTATAGAAGCTGATGGGGCAGGACATGACCTGATTTCATGCTGTGGTATACTGAGAGCAAACACATGTGTGCTTGCAATATTTTCTTGTCTGCTAGTGATCAGCATACAGCACTTCATCCAGAGTGTTCATATGACTACAGGAGAAGGGCCTGTTCCACTGCAGTCCTTGCATTTTTATCCACTTGAGAGAACTTCTCCATCTGTTGTGTTAGTATCTTTTGGATTATATATGTTCAGAGAGAGGTCTCTGAAGTCTGCTCTGAGACCAATAGACCATGCTTTCAGATCAGTTTGGGATCATCAGCAACAGCAGCACACCCAGATGGTTATGGGAACCCATGGGAAAAGATGTAATTTCTTTTGAATTCCAGTAGTTTTTGTTTATTCCTGATTTGTCTCAGTGCTTCCAATAGTTGATAAGTCATCAAGGTCCACCTGGAAGCGAATACATGTAATGAAGCAGAAAACCATGCAAGTGGTCCAATGGGAAAGTTGCTATGAGAATCCAGAGGGAGCTCCTGGCTGTGCAAGAGGTTTTGGCAGATAGATCAGGATCTGTTGACCTGTTCAGGTGCCTAACACCCTCTGAAATTCCCCTGGTAAACCCAGTTCATGGTGTTACCTGCACATCATAGAGGGCTGGTGAACCCAGTGCAGGGCAGTTGAGGGTAAAGGAGAAGCTGCTGTCCAAGACGGGAGGAGGAGTGGCAGTGCTGTTTTAACCTAGTGCAACACTTCACCTCCCCCTGTGCAAATTCACTGCAGTCACCTGAAATCCAGTAGTAGGGCAAAATGCACTTTGTTTTCTGTTCAGCTGGAAGCCTCAGCAGAACAGTCAGGTCTCAGAAATGTAGAGGCAGCATTTGAATCCTCTCCCACCTTCCCTTCCCACCCAACTGGTGTTGAATGTTCTTGCAGGGCAGTGCCACAGGCTCTTTTCCAGGCAGTGACCCTTTGTAGTGACAAAATGTTTAGTATAAGCTGCACTCTGCAATCTCCCTGCATGGGAGCTTGAGCTTATTTTGAGGCCTAAGAATAAGTCTTGCCTTTGCCATGTATGTGTTGACAATTACTGTCCTTTCCCAAAAAGGACTGAAGAAATCTCTCTGCAGCCCTCAGGTCAGAGTAGGAGCTGTGACAACCCAATCCTCTAGCAGGCTAGAGCTGGATATGCCACTAGAAATGGAAATGGAAACTCTTGGTCTCTTGGACATAGTCAGTTCTATCATACCAAAAGTTTATGTGGACACATTTTGTTGAGATCTAGGACTGTCCTGAGCCATGATGCACCAGCAGGTCTGTGGTAGGTCCAGAAAGCTGGACATGTTCACTGCACTCCAGTGGAGTAGCTGAATAATGCAGATGTGGGAGCTCTGCAATGGTGCAGTGAACATTCACGTGTACCTCAGGGTCTGCTCACAAATGTGTGGTAGATCTGAGAAGTGTCTGACTCACTCTGAATCATGGGCAGAGTTAGAAGAGAGCTGCCTAAGGCAGAGGAGAGCAGAACCTTCTTCCAGAGGGGGATGGCAAGAAGATAATATCCAGAGCAGAACACAGGAGCAATGAAATCCTTTGTGATCTTTATGGTACCTGAGTGGTTTGAGCAGCAGTAGCCCAGAGCAGTGTCAGCACAGCAGTGAATCCTCAGCAGTGGCTGTAACTCATGAGCCAGAGGCTGTTAAGGAGACAAATGAGTCTGCAAAATGTGCGTGGGCTGGGCTTGTCGCAACATGAGGGAGAAGAGAATCTGATAAACGTTCTCACTGCAAACCGAAGACTGTGCTCTCTGTGGATACTTGCTCATATGCAATGAGAATTACTGTTTTAAATAGAATCACCAACTTGACATTAACAAGTGCTGAGCATTGAGAAGAACCAATTTTGCATTCTAAGTGCAGTGGGAGATTTCATGGGCTTTATCCCTTGGGACTCTACAAAGCACATCCCTGAAGAGGCCAAAGTCTGCTCTTCTGAAATCCAGGGTTTTCTGAGCACCCACTTCACTGCCATGAGAGAGTCAAACTCCACCATTTCATGGTCTCTGCAGCCCAGCTGCCCTGGAGCTTTACATTCCCCACCAGCCCCTCATTGGTGAGAATGAGATCCAGCCTAGCACCTCTCCTTGTTGGTTCCTTTGTTATTTGGAGAAGGAAATTTTTCTCAGTGCATTTGAGGGACCTTCTGCAATGCTTAAGCCCTGCTAGCTGTCATTCCAACAGTTAATGGGGTGGTTGAAGTTCTCCATGAGGACCAAAGTTTGTGAATGTGAAGCTGCTCCTGTCTGTAGAGTACCTTATCCACTCACTCTTCCTGGTCTGGTGGCCTGTAGCAAACCCCCACAATAATGTCACCTGTCCCTGCTTTCCCTTTGATCCTGATCCTGAGTTCTTGGGTGGCTCCTCAGCCGAGGCTCATGGCTGAGCTCTGTGCACTCCATGGTCATTGGCATAGAGGGTGACAGTCCCTCCTCATGTCCCCTGCCTGTCCTTCCTGAAGAGCCTGTATCCTTCCATCCCAACACTCCAGTCCCAGGACCTGTCCCACCATGTCTCCATGATGCCAATGATATCATAGCCCTGCAGGCATGCACTCCTCTGCCTCATTAATCTCAATCATGCCTGCCTGGTGTGATGGATCAGGTTTTTGTGGAAAACCAATGCTGGAATTGATCCTATGAATGTTGCAGCAGCTCTGTGTGCCTGCAGAATTACCTAAATTATCACACATCCTAGCCTGAAATAATTATCACAGCTGTCTGAGCAGCCTTTCAGGGGAGATTTAATTAGCTTCACCTTTGATAATGAATAGGAAGCTGAGATGGAAGGAAGCAGCTGTGAGCACATTTGTCTTTTTCCAGTGCTGAAAAAGAGTGTCAGCAGCAGGATCCCAGTTCTACTGCCCTGTGATGGCAGATCTGGTGTGTTCCTTCTTAGGATTACACTGATAACCCTTTCAGGAGCATTACACTTTTTAAGGCTGAGGATATTTGTGACACTGCACCCCAGACACTGTTCAGCCCATTGAGCTTCTTGAGTAGGTTCATCAGCTTCAGGTTTGCCAAGGAACTGTTGCCACCCTTGAAGCAGAAAATGTTTGTGTGTTCTTTCAGCAGGCATTAGCAGATGCTGAATTCAGAGAGTAACACATCTTCAACCCACCCAGGAGTCGTGTGGAACAGCATTTCCAGCATCAATGCTCACTGTCCTGAGAGTATGAGAACAACATGGTAGCTGGGAAAAAAGCTTTGAGAAACTCCAGAGGGTTTATATGTAGATCCTCTGGGGAGAGGATTTTTGGGCAATGTACAGGTGGAAGAGAAGGTTGCAATAACTGAGTCAGAAATTTCCTGACCACTCCAGGGCAGTTTCTCTTGACCACTCCAGGGCAATTTCTCTTGCTTACTATGATGGAACTGTGGGGAAAGGTCCTTGATTTGGCTGCAGTAGGTTACAGAAAAACAAATTTTTCTGTGATGGTTTTCAAGAATTTATTTCATTCCTGTGATGTATCAGGATGCTACTTACAATCATTAGAAAAGCTATAAAGTAAACTTGCCAACAAAACAAACAGTTTTTTGCTAGACCAGAAATATTAATCTTTGCCCCACCCCTTGGAACATGTATGGGTTGAGATGCACCAGATTTCAACCATCTTGCCCCAGGTTGTTTGCATTTTGACAGACATCATCAGCTCAAGGGGCAAAAGTTGCCTGCTATGCCCTGCCCCAGCTGTGCCTTTGTCTGGTGATTGGGGAACTTTCTAGATAGGCAGGAGAGAAAGGTTTTTAATTTTTTCTGACTGGAAAAATTGAGTTTTCTCATTTCCAAGGTGAGTGATGTAACCAGCAGGCTGATTTCCTCAGAGGGCCTCTTGTGGGACTTACCTGCACTAATGAGCCTGTTCTCTGGCACCCAGCCAGGCAGCACCCCCAGGCTGCCTGCATCCATCCTCATCCTCTTGGACTCTGCAGCTGCAGGACAAGAGCACTGTGTGCAGCTGCTCCAGGGAATGGTCACTGTCCCACTCCACCTTCAGTTGTGCCAGAGAGGTTTTTGGAGGCGGGCTGATCTCTCCCAGCCCAAAGCCATGCCAGTGGTTCTTGTAGCATTTCAACAATACAGACTGTCACATTCCTGTGTCCAGACATATTTCCTGGCCCTGGTTAAAATATCATTGTGAATTTACCTGTAATGGATTGCAGAGGAAAGCTGAAGCAGGAGGAGAGAGATCTTCACAGCCCCCAGTGCTTGGCATTCCTGGGATTAGCTCCAGCCTGTATCTTTCCCTGGGCCTGGCTGGACATCACACTGTCTCTCCTGACCATAGCAGATGTGATGGGCAACAGATACTTTGAAGTCTCCTGCCTATTTTTGGGCACAAGTCTTTTCCCAAGTTGTAGATGTGATGTTACAGCACTCCCCAAGGCTTCACCAAGGTATCTCTTGTACTTGGAATTAACACCAGACAAAATAAAGAACATAAGATAGCAAAAGATGAAAGTCTGTTCTGCAAGAACTGCAGTTAGTTACACAACTGAGCTTCAAGCATGAGCATTTTGGATTCTTAGCAAATTATGGGGGTCTTAGTCTCTTGCTTTCATTACAGATTCTCCTCATTAAAGCATTCCCAGCAAGCAGAGGTCACTGTCCCCATCTGCATGTTGTACATGCAGACAGCCATTCCTGTCCCAAAGATCTGGTCCAGAGAGAAGGAACAAAGTCCAGAGAAATGGCACCTAAAATGTTGATGTTCTTGTGACAGCTGCATCTGTCTCCAAGTCAGAACTCATTTACTCTCTGGAAGTCCACATGCCAGCAGTCATGAAGGCTTTGTGACAGCCTTTCTTCAGTAAGGGCTTTGATTGCTTTCTTTTGGAATTCTGAGAGAATTTCCACCAATAGAGTCAGTAGATCAGCACAACAATATGGCAAGAATTTTAAACAATGTGGCACTGCTTCTCTTTTACAGAAATAGAAAGAGACTAATTAAAGAATGATTAATTACATGGACCCTCTGTCTGATTGTCTATAAAAAGATGGGGTGGGAAGGTTCTTCCTTTAATCTTGTTTCAGAATAATTGCTTGATTTTTTTCTTCCTCCTCCTCGCCTGGAGTTAAATATGGTGGTAGTTATGCACTGTAACAATTCATTTGCTTTCAAGAAATAGAAGTCCTTGTTTCTATCTCTGCCTGAGGTGTTTTGCATTTTACCTCTTTAGTTTTGCAAAGACAGTTGTGTCTCACATGATCAAACAGCAGTGGATCAAACAGCTTGCCTAGCATTGCAGTGCTGAAAAGCAGGTTTTGAGACAAAGACCACGTATTATCTGCTGTGTTCTCTCTAAGAGACTTCTGTCTAACCAAGGTCTTGAAAAAATCCAGGGCAGAAAAAGGAAATTACATCATCAGCTTCCAGACTTTCTTCTGCAGAATCTTTGGCTTAAAAGCAGAACACCAAACCCCCACCCCCTAAAGACCCCCACAACCTACTGGATTGGATCTTTTTGGGGGTATTTTTTTGGCTGTGCTGAGTGGTTTTGTTGCTGTGATTAGCACAGAAATTGGAGTAGAGAATTCAGGAAGTTGTATCATCATGCCAGGTTAGTGAGCTGGATTTACTGCTGCCCTTTCTGGGTAGTGCACCTAGTTCAAAATCCTGCTTCCTCCATATGGTCTCTATGTATTGTGCATTGTTCCTCTGCTTATTATGTTTTCTGTTATTTAAGAACAAAACTTCATGACATGGACACTGATTCATTCACTATTTGTTCATGCCAAGAAAGGAGGCCTCAGAAATACCAGCCTTAACAAGTTTTGTTTATTACACAGCAAAGAGAACAAGAACGTGTCTTGGCAATGTGATCACAGGTGTGATACCTCTTGGATATCAGTTTGCAACAAACACAAAGGCCTGGGCTTAAATGAAATTAATTTCTTTGTAGATGAGGAATTCAGAAATACATTGAGTGTATTTTGTAAGTTAAGCAGGATATGTCACCCACAAAGAATGATGGAAAATAAAAAAACATCAGAAGTCCTATCTAAATAAAAGAGAAAATAATCTCCAGAGTTACTTAGAGGATGAAATTTGAGGTGCTGCTTGCTGTAACATCAGAGGTAGAGTTCAAGGTGCAGAACTCTGGGGCAGTGAATGGCTCTGTCCATCAGCAGATCTGTTCAGGTGCTCCCTACTTTTAGATAGCAGTGTTCATGCTATTGATTTTACACGAGCAGCCTTGGTTAAAAGTGATTCTTTTAAGTTTCCCTTTGGGAGTCACACGAAGATTTGTCTGACTTGAGGAATGGTTTTACCTTAAAGAGTTCTGATTGTCTCTACACCAGAAAATTTAGGCTAATCCTGATTAACTTCATGGCTGGTTCATGGTGGGTGTAGTTTGTCTCAGCCTGGGCAGTAGTGTTGTAAGTTCCTCTCAGGTTTTAATGAGGGTGAACAGGAAAAAGAAACCCTTGAAATCATGCAGTTTATCTTATTAATAGTGGGATCCTTAGCCTGAGGGGGGTGTAGCTCTTGCAAACCTATGGTTAACATTCAAACAGTTTCACTGGGGATGGAGGAGTAAAATGTCTCAGAGATGTTGGTTCTTTGATCATGTTCCTGGTCATCCCAGACAGTTGCCTCATCAGTTGCTTCCCAAATTATGGAAAAGCTGAGCTTTACATTTAACTGTCTGCAGACCAGTCGTACTGCTGTGTGGTAGAGGCATTTATAGCACCTCTCCTGAGGCAACTGGAGAACAAAGAGAGAAAGGGAGGAATCACTGTCCCATTTAGGAAACAGAAATTATCCCAGGGGTTTCACAGGCATCTGGGTAACCCCTCAAGATGCCTCATTGCCTGGCAGTGAGGAAGTTATACACTGGATATTAGGACAGGTTTTTTTACCCAGAGGGTGGCTGGGCACTGGAGCAGCTCCCCAGGGCAGTGGTCACAGCACCAGCCTGACAGAGCTCAAGGAGCATTTGGACAACTCTCTCAGGCACATGGTGTGACCCTTGGGATGTCCTGTGCAGGTCCAGGAGCTGGACTTGATGATCCTGATGGGTCCCTTCCAGATCACAATATTCAATGGTCCCATGATTCTAACTACAAAAGGCAAATGAGAGGAAGAACCAAAAAATACACAAGTTGAAATGATTTATTCATGCTCCAGGGACTGCCTACCTATAGGTAATGGAGAAGAAGAAACTAAAAAAGCATCTTCCTTAGAGTCTGGTACCATATTGTGTTCCAGTGAGTGGAGCTGCTGAAGAGAATCCTTCTTTTTCTTTACTCCATATTGTGACTTTCCAAAGGCACACAGTTCTTGGAGTCACCAGATAATCTATGATAAGGGCTCTCTTAAAATCTTTTAGCAGCGCATGTGGGAACAGAGTTGGGCATGCACAGTCTGCTGCATATCTGATAAGGTCAAACAATGCAGGTAGAAAATACCCTGAACTGTTTGAGGTGTTCTGGGTTATTTCAGTAGGAATCAGCAGCAAATTATCATCAAAAAGAGTTGTTGTAAGTGGTCATAGATTGCAAAACTTCTTCAGTGTCCCAGAAGTAAATATGAGCATGTAATTTTAAAATCCATTAGGGTTTGCAGTTTCTCATGATTGAGCATGGGGATGCTGAATCTCAGTTTTGGTTGATGGGGATGAAGAGGAAACAGAGTTGAATGTGGATAATTTTACTTTCCCATGAAGATTTATGGGGAAGCAAAGCATCCTGTCACAAAAGCATTATTTTCCCAAACTAAAATAAAGTTTGGTGGTTTTAGTAATCACTAATTGCCTTTAATTTAGACATTTGAAAACATGCTGTAAAAGTAACTTGTATGGGTTAACTTGTATAGCCACATAAGAAAAAATATGGTTCTTATGAAAACTTCTGTGGAGAGAGAAATTTATCAGAGTAGATCCTTTCCTGCAGAAAGTTTTGTTTTGAAAGATTGAATTTTCTTACAGAACAAAAAGCCGTTCAGAAATTCCCAGGATGTTACTGAAGTTTTCTTTTCATTGCAGAGTGGAAGATGATTTTGAGAAACTCTTAGAGGTTACCTCCAAACCAAAACCTAAGGTCCCACCAAAGCCACCTCTGCCTCAGAAGCCAGCAGTTGCCCCCAGGAGCACTAATTCACCTTCACTGGCAAAGCAAAAGGAAAACAGGATTCAGACAATGAATGAAGTGGACATTCTCCAGTATATCCAGGAAAATGAATCTATCAACAACCAGGATACCAGTCTTTTTTGAACATATGTATTTTAAAATATCCTGATGGCTTCTTGGCCCCACCTCCCAGTGAGCTGCAGTGACAGCAGCAAGAACTGCCCAGGTGTTTCTGCTGTCACAGGGCTCATTTGTGTACCAGGATACAGAGAGCAGCAGGTTTGAGCAGCAGAACCTCCCTGTGAGGTTTGCAGAACACTGCAGCTGTGATCTAATGTTGCCTTAGATTTTCAGGGTTTCACAGGGAATGTGAACAAGGATGCAGCCCTACAGATTGTCTACTGCTATTTTAGTATCAACATTGTACAGGTTTTGGCCAGTTGATTGAAAATGGTGAGGATGTTGTACACATGGCAACTGTGAGTAATGTCCAACAAATGGTCTGAGGCATGGTAGGATGCTGTTCCTGTCATTTTTAGATAGTGTTTTTTAGCTCAGTGGAAAGGCCATTTCCCTTTTATCCAGTGTGGTTTTGTAGCAGCCTCTTCCTCCCTGACTTGTATTTTGGTAATTTTTAACAGGAACTGCTAAATGTAGTTAACAGTTCCTCTGTCTTCCCATGGAACATTGAAATCCCAGCTAACCCTGACAGTCTGCTGCCTTAATTGCTGCACAAATGCCAGCTTGTAAGAGAACTTTAGGCCTGCAAAGACCATGCTATGCTATCTCTGATTCCCAGGGAGAATAGCAGATGACTGGGGGTGGCTAAGAACACTCTCCAGACATAGATGGAGGCTACAGTGCCCAGGAGGTTTGGATGCTGTAGGACTCCTATGAACTCCAGATTCACAAGGGCTGATTTTTTCCAGCCAAGTCTTCCTGGGTTTCCACTGTAGTTAGTGGAAAGAGAGAGGGGCTTCTCCAGGAGGTCATTCAGTGCAGGTGTGTTAATGGAGGAAATCTGAATTGCTCTCTGGAGTCACTCTTTCTCTCCTATTCCTTCACTTCTCCCAGAATTTTTAAGAACCAGCCATGGTGATTAATTCCACTAAGCTAAAATGAGTTTGTGTGTTAAGATGGTGGTCTGTTCTTTACCATGTGATGTTTAAAACAAGGGAAGACAAACTTGGCAGTAGCTAGAGGAAAAAAAATAGGAAGAAAATATACTGGAGAAATTTTAATATGCAAGAGAAGAAAAACATTGTAGAGTAGGTATCCAAGACTTTCCCCCTTCTTGTCAAACTCAGGCACTCTGGTTGAAGATACTAAATTTACACCTAATGTGGGTTTATACCTGCTGTCATGCAGTTTCCTGAACTCATTCCATGTGTGGTCTAGCTAGAGATGAAGACAAGCTCCCCAGAGGGAAAATATTAATATATTTAAGCCATACCATCATCTCAATATTTGCCTTTCTAATATAGAACAAAATAAATAGAAAACATTATCTATTTTTAATAATGAAATTATTTCTATCAGCATTTCCTTTTTAAGCCTGTGGGAAATATTATAAAAGTATTTTGCTTTGATGGGACAGATAAAATATAGCCATTGGTTCTCCTCTGTGTATGGTATGTTTTACTATAATAAAACATTTTGCTAACCTGCAGGTGTTACTGTTGTTGCTGTTGTTCTCTGGGTTGTACAGTAGCAGCAAAGAATCGATTCCATTTAGCTCAGGAGTGCTGTGCGGTGTTAAAGTGTAAATAACTATGAAACTGAAAATATAGCTGTGCTCACATTTCCTTTGAGAGCAGCTAAAGGCAGAACCAAAGGTATTACCTAGTCCTGTCTGTCCCCCCAGTGTCCTGGTGCAATTAGGAATAAAAAAGGTGAATAAAAGCAGCCAGGAGAAAATAAATGCCTTGCCTAAGAACAGGCAGGGAATAGCAGGTGGGAAAATTTAATTCAGGGCAGCCTTGCTTTTGCACTCCCTGCTGTCATGAACAACCACTATATTTAACTGAGGGCTCAGGGAGCATCATCTCCATTTTACTCAGCCCTGTTTGGGAACTCTGCCTGCATTTCTGTATTTCTGGGCCACAGCCCACCCATCTCATAGCCTGAACACTGCTAAAACTTCCCAACTGCAGGCCATGGATTTAATGATCAATACAGTGAGTGCAGTTCTTCACCCTCCTTTAATGGCCAAGGAATATTTTGCCCCCCAGTTCTCCCTAAAATTGTCAAATAACCTAAGCACAGGGAAGGAAGAGCTGTTAATTGTTTCCTGTGCTAGATTTTTAAGCTTATTTTGAGGTCAGTATTTTACTTCAGAAAAAAAATAATCTAGCATTCCTGTCAAGAAACTAATATAAAAAGATCCTTCATAAACCCTGGTGTTATGCTTTTGTTTTACAATGCAAATGCCTAGCTGCAGTCATATTTTTGGGCACTAAGAGGTGAGTTACAGTCATTGAATACATTATATATAATGAATCATTATTATACAAGAGAAGAATGTCAGACAAAGGTAGCTGTGAAAAATTGAACATACTATTAGAAATGGCATAGGGAAACTATACAACATACTTTGCATCCTGCCAGAAGAGAACTTTAATTTTTTTCTTTCTTTAATATTTTACTTCTAGTAGCAGCTATTTGATTAGCCTGCTCTTGACAACTCTTGAAATTCAATTATGGACTCTAATGTAGTTCTTGGCTGACAGTCATCACCTTCCAACATCAGTAATAGAGTTCATCAAAAGATTTGACAAGAGTTATATTTAAATCCTTAAAAAAGATGGGGAGGTTAGTTAGAACTCATAATAGATACCTCTATTGCCTTATAAGCAGCTTCTTCTTTTGCATAACATTCTGCTTGCTCTGTGGTACAGCACTAATTGACAACTAACACTGTATACTTCATTATTTGGGTCACAGTTAAACAAATTATTTTCCCAAGCTGAGTATTTCACAGATGAGTTGTGGGTCATCTGCTCAGGTCTGTTCAGTTGCTGAATTTTTAGGAAAGCTAATTCCCATGTAGCACTTAAGGCCTAGTTCTGTCAGTGACAATTTGCGTTGAGTTGTAAAACAAAATATTAATTGAAACTGATATTTCTGCTAATTTTTGCCCAGATGTTAGCTTCTGCAAAGAAGCTGAGCTGGGTACAGCAGAATACACAAGTTAACCTCTGATTTAAGGCCATGAAAATCCAGCATGCTCAAGGGCATTACCTACTGTAAATGAGCAATCCCTGAGGTTGTTAGATTTAATACTGAGTACCAGAAAGCACTGATGTTTCACTTAAAAATGTGACTGTCACTAATTCACCAAGGAGTCTTGAATCTTTGTGTATGCATGCATCAACCACATTTCATCTCAATTGAAGCGATTTCAACTTTTGTGACAGTTTAAATGTCTGTGGGTCAAGAAGATAGAAGGCTTTTACTATGAAGTTTTATCTTTATTTTTTATCTGTATTCTTACTTTTCATCTCAACATCAAAAACTAGAGTAAATTAAGTCACTTGCTTTCTTTTTTTGTATTGTGCCCATTTCTTCCTTTATTTATCTTTAAACCCTCCTGATCCAATTGTTTTCAGCCCTCACCATATCACTGATCTTCCTTTAAAGCCTCCTGCATTTTGTTATTTCATGTCATGCATTGAACCTAATGAAGAATTCAAGTGATGGGAAAATCTTTTGCACTGTTTTCAGTAAAGAACTAGCACTGGAAGGTGGTAAATTAAATTAATTTTCAAATTAAGTGCTGCTGTGAGAGTTCAGAAGTCAATAAAGCTGCTTAAAGGATTGATTAGTTCTAGATATTTAGGGACTAAGTTTTATTCACACCAAGATGTTATGGATGCCTAAAATTTAAATGGGGTCAAGGAGACACCAGTTAGACTCATGGAAGATAAATCAATTTATGTTTATGCCACTCAGAGCTTGGAAAGTCCTTCAGCTACAAGTTACTGGAAAGAAGGAGAATACTCAACAGCCAAATATTGTCATATTTCCCTAGAGTGATTTGCTCTTGGCTGTTTAAGGAATACTGTTCTGGGCTAACCCAAAATTCCCATGGAATGAATATCACTCAGGGAGGATTTGATGACTGAGGGAACAGAACATATTCAGTGCTTTATCACCCTGCTTCCCAGCACCCTCCCAAAGATCCCTCCACTGGCCTTACAACAACAAAGCAAATTCTCCCATTTACGCAGGAGAAAGTCCTGGAGCCAGTGGAAATTCTGATTTCCAATCTATACTTTTTCAAAAGCCGTTTTTGACCTTTAGTGAGCAGTAAAAGTTCAGATGGTATCAGAGGAAGATTCCAACAATTCTTGGATGCCCTTCCAGATCCAGATCCTCTGCTCTAGTGAGGATTCCCCATCTGGAATACGACACAGTTCTGGTGCCCCTGATAGAAGAAAGACATGGAGCTGTTGGAGTAAGTCCAGAGGATGCCCTGAAGTTGGTGAGGGCACTGGAGCACCTCCCCTGTGAAGAGAGGCTGAGAGAGTTGGGGTTATTCAGCCCAGAGAAGAGAAGGTTGTGTTCAGGTCTCAGAGCAGCCTCCCAGTGTCTGTAGGGGGCTACAGGGAAGATGGAGAGGGAATCTTCTTCAGGAACTGTAGTGATAGGACAGGGGAAGGGGCTTCAAAGTAGAGGCAGGGTTAGATTAGATATTAGACAGGTATTATTTACTGTAGTCATGCCCAGACACTGGAACAGGTTCCCCAGAGAAGCTGTGGATGTCCCTGGAAGTGTTCAAGTTGGATGGAGCTCTGAGCAACCTGGTCTACTGGAAGGTGTCCCTGCCTATGGCAGGGGGGTTGGAAATGGATGATCTTTAAGGTCCCTTCCACCCAAACTGTTCTGAGACTGATGCCAGCCTGGATGGGAAGGTTAGGATACACTACAGTTTGCTTAGGATGTCACACCCAGGAGGCTTAGCAGAGTAACCGGGCAATAAATGGGCATCATCACAACACCATCAAATGGCAGTGGAATACCCCCAACACAGAGCAGCTGATGTTATTTTTGATCTTTTTCAGTGAGGTGCTCAGGAACCTCAGAGTCTGAAGTCATCAGCAAATACAAAAACACCTCACAGCCCACTGCCCCTGCTGCATTAACAGCTACCATGGTTTCTTACCCTCAGATATATTGTTTTAATTATCAAGTACCAAGGAATCACTTGGTATCAATCACCATTATCAATCACCAAGGAATATTAAACTGGAGATGTGGAGCTGTTAAAGCCATGGGGAAGCATTATGGTCAGTGTGACATCTTCCTTGTGGTCCTCCAGTCACCAAAAAATCGTAACAATGTATGAAAACCTATCATTTTGTTGGGTTTTGGTAAAAGAAATGCAAGCCAGTTTCTCCTTGAACTCATTAAATACTCCCACAATGCAATTTAGCTATTTTCTACCAAAGGCAATGTTTCTGATGTCATCAAAATGTTGCTTCCTGTGACTGCTGTGAGGGTCATGCTCTCAATCTGAGCTGTCAAAACCTGGTGCAGATCAGAGAAAGCCTGGTCATGCTGATGCTGGAGAGAGGAGGTAAAGGAATGGGATGTGACACCACTGACAGGCTTGGAGGGCACCACTGAGAAACAGGAGAGACAGGGCAAAATGAAAGGAGGCATCTGCCTGATTTATACACACAGCTCCAGAGCCATTCAATTCCCCTGAAATATCACAGCTCTAGGACTGGAATCAGCAATTAGCTTCGTGATTCTGTGGTGAGAGGAGCTCCATGGTTTTTCAAATGAATATAAAAGAAAACAAAATTATAAAATTCCTGGGGTATTTACAGAGCACTTTTCTTACTTCTCTGGTAATCTATCTGCCTTTTAAGTCCTCCCAGAGATTTTGTCTAACACTCATAAACTTCTCTGATTTTTCTTTGGCAATAATGGTTTAATGATACTGATTGTACTCCAGAAGAGCTTAATGAAACAGTCAATTTGGTAATGTCTGGCTCTGTTAACAAGTTCTTACTGTGAAAAACCCAATCATTTATTTACATTGGATGCTGAGAACAAAACTACCTAATGCTTCCCTCCTGTCTTAAGCAATCAAATCTGCAGGCTACTACGATTTGTTTTCCTGTTTATGTCTACCCCATCTCTACTTTTTATAACTTACTTACTTAATCTTGTGTACAGTCCCCAAAAGGATTTTTTTATGTCCAGAACTACATTCTAATTATAGCTGCAATGCCTATCTAAAAAAACAAAAAAACAAAAAAAAAAACCACCAACACAAAAACTCAAAACAAACAAACCAACCTAATTTACGTGGAACTGTGTGGACAATTCATCTTTTTCATGAGGAATGAGAAAAGAAATCTGAGCCTGTCTTCATCAGTGGTTTAGTTTAGCTCAAGGGAGCATTTTCACAGCACATCTGGCTGGCTCACCTAACCCTACTCTGGTTCCCATCACAGAACTGCCATGGCAGCAAACCAGACACATGGGTCCAGAGACCCACCCAGAGGTGGAAATAACCTCCCCCAGGTGTGGGCACTGGGCACTCACCACCAGCTCTTCCACTCTGCACCTGGTGGTAAACTGAGCCCCAAACCCCCTGAACTCAGC